GAATCATAGTCAAAACTATGCGAGGATCCGTCAATAAATTAGGTCGTACGTACACAGCACGCAAACGCGATTATAATCACTTTATATATATGTGAAAATATTTGAGTATAATTATTGTTGTACCACTATTAAATTTTCCTCTGGTATACATGGAAAGCTTTATAGCAACATGTAATAATCCACAAAACTGTCTAACACTTCTCATATCTGTATTGAGAATAATTATGTAACAGCGCATAAGCAAAGTAAGCAAGTATTTGTTTAAAGGAGAAGTGTTGCTGGCGACACGTGCAATTAGGCATGTTGCGCCACCTACTGGTCGTGTAACGGTTCATGGTCATTTTACAAATCAAAATAAGGAACCAGTTTGGCAGAACTGCATGCCTACTGCGGCAAACGGGTCACTTTCATTGGTAGAAACAGGATAGAGTTAGGTCAACGGCTATTGAACTCAAAAGTTATCGGCAAGTTGTAATCCAACACATGCCTCCTTTTAAATATATATGCAGCTAATATATGTATTTAGTATAGTTGCGTACCCCACGTCATAGTGTTTCTGCTTGGTGGGGATTATGCCTCCATAAAAAGGCAGGACAACGTGCTTTGCGGGCGTTCTGGTCGCGATTTCTAGTTATATAAAATAAAACACAAATAAACACGGATATTTCCTTGGAATTTGATATTTCAATAGCTTCCGGTGTAAATGTGCGCTGGCATGGTGCCATAAGCAAGGCTGGTGAATTCTGCGTACAGCTGTAGCTGTTGCATGCTCGGCTAGAACGCTTGTATGCATATAAGTCGTTATTTTCATGAGTGAAACGTCGAATATAAAACGTTAAATGTTAAATATTATTCTAAAACATGTGAGAAAATGATGGATTGGTATACAGAGCCATACATTGCTTTTGATTTGTCGTTACTGCAGCTTGAACGATGAGGTAATACGGTTTGTGACACACGTCTCAGTATTGTGTATATGAAACTTTTATGCATACAAAACTTATCCAATCATACTCTCATAAAAGAGTGCATGTTTTCCGATCCGGAAAGTTCATCCTAGTTCTCTCAGCCATGCAGCCATCTTGCAGACACAGTGCGCAGCATATGTAATGATCCACGTAGGATGCTTAACATAAACAAACATCAATGTGCCACGTGCTATTTAAAGTAAACTTTTTCTGGTATTTATGTATAGCTACGAGGCGAGCATCCACGGCGATACAGTCAGAACATTATTTTAAAGCAACATGTGTACTCCAGCTAGTCGACACAAAACTAGACGACCCGCTATTGGAAATGTAAAATTTAATGTTCAATGTGTAAGATGGCGCGTATAACTCATGTATTGAATTCAGTGTTTATTTAGCTCCCTGACACCTCTCTACGTGCGTGCCTTCTCTTCGTCAAGATATCTGTCTGTTTACACCATCCCCTCAGCCAAAGCCTTTGTGTATCAGTTTCAAATCTGCGATTTAAAGGCAAGGACTATTTCTGGTTGTAGAATCAAACACGTGGTGCCGCTAGCACATGCAACCATTTCCCTAACCATTGTAGTGGGACTTTTTTTTTTTTTTTGAAAACTATGTTGCCAACCGTCACGGCCAGTTAACTCTCGCACATTCCGTTATTTATTGTTTCTAGTGTTGCTTTAATGTGTAAAATAATTTTTGCATAGCTTCCCTTTTAAAAATCCAAAGGTTTTCAGTTTTATCAGAAATAAAATCACATAGAGAAAGTGCAGTACCAATGGGTCCAGTGTGTCTGAAAAATCTTTATACTTCTCACGCGGTAGGCCTATAATTTGTTCTTGAAATCCGATATCCAATAAATAGACACATTAAAAACATACTCCTAACATGAGAGCCTAAGAAATAGAGACTTAATTGGCTTAGTTTTGGTATCGAGTTATTAATAGAAATTTTTAATAATAAATCAAAAATAAATTTTTTTGTAAATGATTCAATAAATAATTGTAGTAAAGCCTGCGTGTTAAATAAAAACATAATTACCTATAGGAGCTCTATCGCTTCCCAAATGGATGCAATGACTGTGCCCTGTGTGGGTGGGTGGACAGATGATGCGTATAGGTAATTAACTTCCTGTGTTAAACCAATTGAGTTAAAGCATAAGAATTAACGGAAATTAATTAGAAAAACTACGCCTCTAATCGTAATTTTTGGTGTGCAGGTCACTCTAATGTATTTGTCTGCTGTGTGTAAGCCAAAATAAAAGCCGGTTGGACTTCCTATTGTACTTTATACCTCTAATTTCAAAATCCAACGTGTCCGAGGCACATACCTAGCGTTTTGTTTCAAGACATGCGTTCAAATAATCCATTTTAGATTCGATTTTTGACAATTGAAAATTTTTTAACATTCTAGAAAACGTTTCCTTGCATAAGAATTCAACGCATCTATTTTTTGTTGTGCGTGATATTTTGTAAACTTGGATGTTATTGCACGCCAAAAAGTAACAATTTATAATTTAACACTTAGAGAGCGTTTGATCTAGCTATTATACTTGGGGAAATTTGCGCAGTCCTAATTTTTTCTGTCAATATAGAAGGACATAATAATGTTATACGTACAAAATCGTCCCCTGGTCAGTTGCTCATACTACTACGGGCTAGGGCAATAGCTTTAAGACTATAGAATAACAGATAATTTCCCATCGATTCCCACGGGAACAATTTTCAAATAAAAAATCATGCATGTAATCATAATTCTAAAGTAAAAGTTGGTAACAGTTAAAGCCGCACAATGCGCATCCAAACGCTAATTTCTTCAGTACTAGACTAGCAAATACTTCGTGTCATGCATAATCATACTACCTTATGGCAAAATAAACTCTAGTTCCTCCCATTTGACTGCGCGTTCCCAACAAGAAAGAGGTGCGAAATCAGGTAATCAGGCGCCAACGCTAACTTGTTTCAAACAACATAACATCGAAGTGGTGACGTGACGTCACATGTTTTTATCTTTGCTGCGCCCGTACCGCTGTACCGCGGCACCGCTGCACGGTTGCTTGGAGATTGGGGAACTGTCAACAACATCGGAGGTATTTTCAAAATACCTTTTATAAGACAACGCGCAGTGAAATGGGAGGAACTAGAGTTTATTTTGCCATAAGGTAGTATGATTATGCATGACACGAAGTATTTGCTAGTCTAGTACTGAAGAAATTAGCGTTTGGATGCGCATTGTGCGGCTTTAACTGTTGACAGCCTTTCGCCTAGAGCAAACATCAAATCATGTTTAAACCTATATGGGGGAAGCTGTCCAATTATCAGCAAAGCTGTTTAACTTTGAGTGGTCGTAATGGCCATCTTGTTCCAATTACGCTTTTGACTACCCACTGAGGCGTCACCGTGAATACATCTATGTTAGAGAGCGTAAACGCAAGTGCGTATATGTGTCAGGACAGCCAACTATAATAAGAAACGTGCAGGGGATACAGATATCCAGGAACCCATCAACTTTATCGTTATGTTCATGGGCTCTTGATCCATTCAGACATGCACTGTCCTCAGTGATCGCTTGCCAGATTCAGTCATTCTCAGTGACCTGTCAGCATAGTTTGCCCTTCGCTAAGCTGCCTTAGTGTTGATTTGCATCGCCTTAGACCAAGGGCCGAGGAATTGATAAATGAAGTATATATGTGTGTGACGCAACTCTCATTTTGGAGTGCACTATTATGCCTCTCGCTTCCCATCCCCAGGTATTGCGCTTGAATTTACAGGCGCTTATAATGATGTAACTAGCTACTTCAAATCGCATTAATAACTTTATCATAGATTTCTCGCACCCACAGCACAGAAACAATATATGTATATGCATCCCATGATCTTTCAATTGCTCTGAACCTGAGTCCATTCAAGGTTGTTTGCTATACTTCATGATCATGCGTAAAGCTGCGTTACTTTTCGCTGTAGGCCTACATGGTATAAACGCGGCGTAGTATTATTTATGTAAATACTTGAAAAGTCGATCTATAGCTTTGTATAGGTCTTTTAGGAGCGGGCACAATTTAGGCAAATTATTGGTTATCATGCAGCGGCTCGAGTGATTAGGTACCACGACAAAAAAAAACTTCGGGAGTAGGCCTATCCAAACCTGACTGAGTTTGGAATTTACCAGACATTCAGTACTTTCCATTGTTTACATTCTCGACACTGTTTGTGGGTTTCGAGCATTTGCTCCACTTTCCTTCCTATAGCCTGCAACTTTAGCTGCACGGACGATGAAGGCGGTGATCGACCTTTACAACCTACACAAGAATTCCGTCATATCGCATTAAAATATCGTTGGTGTGATAATTTTACAAATCAAGCAACTATGAATTCCGTCTAATATATAAGATGATCTATGCTGTCCGTGTTGAATATAAGCAACATAACAGTAAAAAAATTATTTATCGCTGCGGCAACTCTCCATGCCAGCCAGCTCTGGCAAATTCGGGATGTGTCTGTGGTCACTCCCTAGCATCTGTGACTCTAAACAAGATTATCATATACCCTACAAAGAGTGTTAAAGGACCACCATATATGCTGAGACATGCGCGCACGCACACGCACACGCACACGCACACGCGCACACACACACGCAAACGCACACGCGCGCGCACACAGACACAGACACACA